GGGGGGGGCGGTAACGGCTGAACTGTGCGGCCGCAAGCGGCCCCTCACATGCGCACGGTGTCTCCCCCTTTCTTCCGCCATACTCGAACCCAAGTAACTGTACGAGGAGCGGCTGAGCTCATTTGGTCTGTTCAGCCTGGAGGAGACTGAGGGGAGATCTCAACACAGTCTACGACTTTCTCGCGAGGGGAAGAGGGGCACACAGCGATTTCTTTGTGGTGATCAGTGACAGGACCCGAAGGAATGACATGAAGCTGAGTCGCGGGCGGTTTAGATTAGATATTAGGAAAATGTTTTCATCCAGAGAGTAGCTGGGCCGTGGAGCAGGCCCCCCAGGGTTCCCCAGGGAAGTGGTCACAGCACCGAGCCAGTGAAAGTTCAAGAAGCGCTTGGACAGCTCCGACACCTGGGGGCTGCAGCTGCTCTGTATTCGGGCTGAAGGGTGAACAGCCCCCGTTCCAGGGCCACGCTCGCTCCAGCAGCTTCTGACGGCAGCAGTGGGCTCCGGGCAAGGTCTCACCTTTCTGCTCTGCTGCCCACAAGGGCACCAGATGCTGAACAGCACCAAGAGGGGCTTCTAGAGCCCTCGTTTCGTAACAAGCATGTTCGTTGTTGCTCCTTAAAACAAAAAATATAAAGGTTTGTAAATTGTAATGCTTTCTCTGCAGAACTACAATGTGGCATTTTTTTCCATGCTGAACTGCTTATAATTTTTCTTGAAGTCCAGTATATGACAAATAATTTCATAAGTTAGGAATACTCCAAGGGAGCATATACAGCCCCCGGGCAAAGCAGAGCACTGCGGGAGGCTGGTTTTAAAACACGTGCAGGGATGCTCTAAAGACTTGGCTAAGCCTGTGCGGACAGGTGTCCTTCACTCCACCCCACTTCTGCTGGACACATGGGAGGTACTGCTGGAGTCCTACACCCATTCCCACAGCAGCCCAAAGAGTGTTGTATTTTGAAATCCTGAAGTTCAGAAACATTAGCAGTCTTTCACTTCAGTACAAAATTGTGTTAAAGTAAACCCACAACACTGTACTTAAGCACTTAACAATTCCTTCAATTTAATTTTTCAAAACCGTATCAGAAACAAATAGTAAATTGAGAAAGATAATGTCTGGTACTACAGTTATTTTTATTTGTTCACTATGTTATGAATAAGGTGGTAATTCCTGCTGGAAATGTAAGATTATTAATGTAATATAAAATAAAGCCTTAAGATCATGCCAGCAAAGGGGAGAGGAAGATTGCCACACAGGACAGCTCAAAGCGGAGGAGAGGTGCATCATTAACATACAAAGAAAACCTAGCCTGCACAGGAGATGGGCACTCCCCGATGGCATGAAGGAGAAAATGCCCAGTGATGATGGCCCATGTAGATGTCCACTTCAGACAGACAGAACCATCAAGGACATACATCTGAATGAAGGATTCCGGGAACTGGAGACAGATACACATCAATTCCCGGATGAGGCTTTGTCCAGCACAGGACAGAGAACAGACACTGCATGAATATGAAGGACTCCAGGAGGGGACAAAGGGAATCCACCGCGGGCAAGAAAAAGAGTATAAAAACCGAACTCTGCCAGGCCTCGATGGTGAACAGGGGGATTCGGTGCGATAGAGGCTGGATCATAGTTCACCTGCTCCAATCCCGGGGTTGGCGCTACTTCTTGATTGTTGGCGGTCGGGACTGTATGTCGGTCGTGAATAAATTTTATTTTTATTTTTGATCTAATTGGCTGAATCAATTTTTACCTATAGCAACTAGATGTCTAAACTTAATGGAAAGACAAAACCCACTGGATAAAATAATTCATGAATGAAAGATAGAGCAGAGGAAGACAAATGAATAGACTTTAGAAGATATATAATTTGCAAGAGTCATTTACCATTTCATAAACAGTGCCTTCCAGCTTTCAAATACATGTAGAATATTTGGAGTCCTTTCTACAGATAATGTTTTTTGAGCTCTGCAAAACAGCAAACTATTATATGGCTAAATATCCATCAGCTTGAGGGCAGCAAAGCACAGTCCAGTATCCTATTGCAAGCACTGCCTCAAAGGATATGTTACCATTTTGAATTTATGTAATTCCCAAGTCAGCTCTGTGGAAATCATAGAAACACATAGCTACAGGCTATTAAAACAATTTAAATAAAATGTAAGCTTTCAAAATAATCCATGGACTAAGTCTACTGACTTGAAATTAGGACATGATACTATACATGTATTCCAAAATGTGTACATCTGCTCAGAGTATTGTAAATGTTTCTTTACCACACTTTTAGGAATAAAGTCTAACTGGATTTGTTTGTTCTATTTCTGCAATGAGAATAATCAAAGCAAAACAACACATTGTATCACTGAGAAAAAATTTGAAAGTCTCTATCTTGATTCTTAAATCCTAATGTAAACTGCTGAAAGCTGGAAAAATGTATTGTTTTGAAGCATTTCAACTCATTTTGGGTTGGGTTTTTTTTAGGCCACACATTTCAGAATATAAACATATAGAAATCTAGGGTATTACCACATTTGTTAAGAATTTTTTGAGGAGAACATAATTTTCATGAAATGTAAAAGAAACATTTCAAATATTCTGACATGTCCTCATTTTTTCATAGCGTCATGAGTGCTAATAGCGATCAGGAGATAAAAGACAACAGAGAAACAAAATATCATAGTAGACCGATAAATATTAAATAGAAAGTCTTAAGGAGATAGTTATCCAATGTAGCTGTCCGTTGTCTACCTTTGCATATTTCACAAAAACATTTTTTTTTAATAACAACATCCATTAACATGCACTATTTTATGATACTGTAACATAAAAATGTGGCTTCTTTGTCCTAGTATATTAAAGGCCTACACTATTTCTGTGTAGCTTTGGATCTCTCTTTGTAATCACCCTAATGGGAAATTTGTCACTGATCTTAGTTTTCACAAAGTGCAAAGCAGTAATTTGCTGTCACCGTGATATTTTCTGAAAAATCCCTTTGCCAGGATTTCTTCTCCTGGGAAGCTGAGTAGCCTCAGAAAAGAATGTAAATAATAATTATCTAATTACTTCTCCTTGTGTTTTGCTGCTTTGGAATGTAGTAGGTGATTCTTTCATTAATTCCATGTGAATTGTTTTTACTTAATAACCAATCAAAGCCAGCTGTGTCAAACTCTCTAAGTCAGTCACGCGTTTTTATTATTCATTCTTGTTAAGCCTTCTGATGTATCCTTTTCTCTATTCTTTTAATATAGTTTTAGTATAGCATAATATAATATAATATAAATAATATAATATAATATAATATAATATAATATAATATAATATAATATAATATATCAGCCTTCTGAGAACATAGAGTCAAATTCATCTCTTCCCTTGTCCTGGGACCCTTACAAACACCACAATTTGGCACCCTCAGACAGCAAATCCCTGTTGCACCTCAAACAAGATTAGCACTGAAGCACATGACCCTGCACGCTGTGCAGTACAGCCCAGTTTTCACCCCTAGTCTGAGAGAAAAACTTGGTGTGCTTATCTTCTGATTTTATGGGCAGTGACAAAGACTTCAGTGCCACATGGAGCCCTGGTGTCCTCAGCAGCAGGAAGAGCCACACTGATTACAAAGATCTGAAGAGCTTCACTATCTTTAACTCTTTGAGAAAATTTCTGAAACGTTTGATACCTCTTAGACAACAACAGATGGATCACTCATTCCACCCAGCACGTTTTCACGTTTCCACAGAAAGGGAAGCAAAGAGATTAGTTTTGCCTCATCCTCATTCCTACCACGTAAACACATAATTAAAGGGTTTTTTTACCAGTTAATAAAGCTGAGACGTTGAACAAAGACCTTATTACAAAGACTGAAATTAATCTGTTTAAAACAAATGTTGTTTTGCTCGTGGAAGCAGATCTGCCCACATATTTCTTAAGTGCATTAACGTAGGATGGTTGTAACATACTCCTTGTAGTTCAAAACCACATAATAGTAATTAATACTCACACTTTGTATTTATGACTCATGCATCGGCAGAGAAAGAAGGGTCAGAATATGTTTCATAGTTTAACATACCACTGAGAAAATACTGAACCAAGTTCTGACTCATCCCTTGGGGCTCCTTCCTCAAAAACTTCCAACTGCTTCCAAATACGAGTTGTTACCATTTCAAACTTCTCTATTTGGAGAAGCACGCCACAGATGCCTGTGTCAGCTCCTGGGCTTGCATTAGTCAGTAGCCTCCTATTTAGAGTCCTCATCGCACTCTCGAAGACCTCCGTGCCACACAAATGCTCAGTATAAAACCAACATAACTAAATCCATGAATACGCTAAAGAACCAACCAAAAGAGCAGGACGAACCAAACCACCCACATAAATTATTTCTTCCACAGCCCGCCACTCCTTTCTTGCCCGCGCTCACAATGCCCTGCTCCGGCGGTACCCGGCTGGCCACAGGGGTGCTCCAGGGATGCTCCAGGGAAGCAAAGGGAATACCACAGGGCCGCTACTCCCGAGTGTGTGCGTCCCCAGCAGCTGCCAGCACCCCGGCAGGCCGCGAGAGGCCGCTGTGGTGAGCGGCGGTACCGTCGCCCGTCGCCCGCCCTCCGGGGCGGG